ATATACCTAGGAATTAACGAGGGAAGTAGGCCAGATTTAAAAAGATCATTCATTGAAGGGTAGCAGTGGAAGGGCTGAAATAATAAAAACCCACCAATTTCCAGGTGGAGAACAGCCATGGTCCTTGGGGAGGAAACCTCCAAGGACTGTGGGTGATACCCATAGAGGCTGTTTCTAGGAAGAGTCTCTGGAGACCCACATACTGTGGAAACAGGCAGGTCTGGGAGAGCGAAGCAAGTACCTAGCATTCTGTCCTCACCTCCCAGGCCTGGGCCGTTAGAACCAGACCTTCCTGAAGGATGGTGAGGTTCTGAACACACGGCCATGTGCATGCAGGTAAGCATTTTACCTCTAAGCTACATCTTCAGCCCTGGATGGTAAGCTGCAAAGAGGAAGCAGGAGGCCCACTTTTAGTGCTAAACACAGAAATGTCCACTGAGGCTTTTAGTTCCTAATGGAAGGAAAGCAATGAGTGGAAGCCCATGGCTCTATACTCTATACTGTCAGTGGTTTCTGGACCTTTCCCAACCATGCTCATTCATTCCCATTGGTTCCTGGCCAGTAAGAAAATGAAGTGGGAATACCACATTTTATTCCAATAGAACCACAATCAAAGATGGATGGAATGAGGCAGCTTCAAAAAGTAAGGGACTATGAGTCTCTAAGGCCCTTAGCCAGTGAACAGGGAAAAAAAGGTCAATCCTGGTGGCAGGAGGCAGAAGGTCTGCCTGCTGCTTAGGACTGGTGCCCTGTCTTCTTTTCCTACAATATTTATTCACTGCTTTTCTAACTGGCGCTCCTTAACACAAAGGATGGAACTTCTGGGAGGGTTCTATGCTTAATTCAAGTTTCTGAATCACAGAAACCCAGCACCTGTCCTGCAGAGTCCTTCGGCATTCTCCAACCTGAGAGAGACCCAGAGAGGCTGTTTTTAGGACGAATCTCTGGAGACCCACATGCCTTGAAAACAGGTGAGTCAGGGAGAGGGGAGCAAGCATCTCCCAGGTCAGATGCTTCCTGCCTTCTTTCACACCCCCAACAGCTGACCTGACCATCATACTTTGAGCCTCTCTGTATAACTATAGAGTAACCCTCACAGCTCCACAAGGTAGCTGCCATTATCTCTGCTGTAGAAATGTGAAAGTGGGAGTCATCAAATAATTGCAGTATATCCTAAAAAGACACAGAGCCCAGTTGTGTACTAATGTCTCGCTTTTACTCCTCTTATCCATGTGTCTGATGAGCCAGCCACCCTTGAATACTCCATGCACTCTCACTGATGTGCTAGCTCCTTAGCCTGGTACAGCTTTCCAGGCCTCCTTCCCACTTCACATTTTAAGGCCCAGTTTCAACAGTGTCTCTTCCAAGAAGCCTCTCCCATGTTTATGTCTAACTAGAACTGATTGTTTCCCTTTGGGCTTTGCCCACATTTGCATATGTCCCCATTACAGTGCTTATTCTGCAAGTATTGTAAGTATTTGCATAACATTTGCTCCCCCAACATTGAAGCCTTCTCTTCCCTTGGAGAGAAAGATTATCTAATAAGCCACCTGTGTCTGCCACACACTGCTTCCTCAGTAGAAGCTTAGTGCCTGTTGAATGAATCAGTGGTTGACAAATTGCCAACTGGGGCAACCAGTTGTCCCTCTTGTTTGCTCAGCTGTTTGCAATGGGATAAAGAACTTCCTGCAATCAAGGCTGTGTGACATGGCTTTCAAGACAGACTCATGTCTCATGATTTTCTCCTGCTCCAAGCAGAATGTAGGTGACCAATAACTAAATTATAAACATTAGGATCCACAATGTACAGAATATGTAGGTGATCCCTTCTGATTGACATTTCCCCTGTAGTACCATTATATTTCATTGCTGAGAGCCCAGCAGCCTGCTTCAATGAATATACCCATATGTTTTACCTCAATCCATCATTTGTGATGGCACACAGAAGCAGTCTTGTATTGCATTAACTGGAAAACTTTAATTTTTCCTAACGCACCAGCAAGATTATCAAATGTTGTGGCAACATGGATGGAACTGGAGATCTTAATGTTAAGTGAAATAAGTCAGGTGTGGAAAGAGAGGAATAAGATTTCACTCATATGCAGAATTCTTAAAAAGCTGAGCTCATACAACCCAAGAGAATAGTGGTCACCAAAGGCCAGGGAGGAGAAGGAATGCGGAGAAGAAGGCTTAACAGGTACAATGTCATAGCCAGACAGAAGGAGTAAGTCTGGTATTCTATTGCACAGAGAGTGATTATAATTAATAACAGTACATCCTAAAACTCAAATAGCTAGAAGAAAGGATTTTGAATGTAATCATAGCAATGAAATGATAAATGCTTCAGATGATGGACAACCTAAGTATTCTGAGCTGATTCTTATACAATATATACATGTATAAAAACATCACACTAAAGATGTACAATCATATCTCTCAATAAAAAAGATCAACAAATGTAGTTTCCTGTCCTTTAGCAAATCATAATTCAATAGAACATGAACTCAAAAATATAGGTGTCCTAGAGGTAGGGGTATAGTTCATGGTAGAGCACACAATGTACCACGTGTGAAGCCTTGGATTCAACCCCCAGTACTGAAAATTAAAATCAATCAATCTGGTCCACCCATCCATGCATGCATGCATCCATCTATAGATATAGGTGTCCTTTCACCCTCCTACATTGAAGAAGGCAATGACATGTTTAAAGGAAAAACAAAGGCCTGAAGAATGACTGGAGAGAGAATAAAGTCTTGGCAAGAGAGTTCAAAAAACTTTTTAAAATAAATAAGCATTTTTTAAAGGAAAGCACCAGTTATTAGGACTTTAAAACATCAAATAACTTTCTAAATGCTTCATGTATATTATTTTATTTTTCCTTTCAAAAACCTTAGATTAGAATTGTTACTCTCATTTTACAGGTGGGTAAATTGACTTGCTTGGAGTTACCAAGCTGGTAAGTGGCCAAGTGGCCGAGCTGTGATTCCAGCCCACTTCTACCTGGCTCCAAGAATCTCTTTTCTTTTATTGAGAGCCTACTGCATGTCAAACCCTTAGTCAGACACACACATGTATACAGACTGCTTTACTTAAGACAGTCTTTGGTGCCACATGGCAATTACTAGAGCTGCTTTCAATCTGACATTAATAAGAGAAACTAGCTTAAGTCCTAAGATAGCCTGAATAATGAAAAATGTAGGTTGCTTCTGTTTAAACCACCACTAATTACTCTCAACGCCAGATTGTACATAAACTCCCTCCTCTGGCTAAAGTCCTAGCAGGTTCTATAGTCACTAAATGCTCTGCTTATCAAGATGCAGATAAGAACAGACTTCCTTTTCCCGTACTCAGGGCAGTTTATAGGCACCAAAAATTCATATTTCAGACAGACAGGAGTGCTCTAGGAACATATATTATTTTATAACCTGGAAGCAAAGAAATAAAAGGAGTTGTGGATTGTGGTTTTTAAGATAAATTGTATCTTGAAACATCTTAGTATCTGAGTCTATATTTGGGTTAAAGCTATTTGCAAAACATAGGGAACAGCCTGCCAAAGCCCACTCACAATGCTTGCAGCAACCAGGCAGCTCAGATTTCTTGGGATTCCACAGCCATGTGCCCTAAATAGAGGTCAACTAACTACCAGGTGGTGGTGAAAGTTAGTGTTAAGGAAGGCAAGATTTCAGAATCAGACTGCCTAAATTCAAATCCCAGTTCTGCCACATTAACTATGTCATCTTGGGCAAGTTATTTCCTCTATGCCTTAATTTCCTCATATGAAACATGTTGACAGTTGGATAGACTTCACAGGGTGGACTATAAGAATTGCGTGCAGTAGTGTTTGTGAAGTTCCTGGAACTTGACCTTGTACAAATCTGTGTAAGAGTATAAATATTGGCCATCACTGATTAAATCTAACATATTCCAGACAGGTGGGAACTTCAAGAAAGTCCTGAAGTCAAGAGAAAGGAGGCTCCCGTTGCTATGATTACACTTCTCCAGCAGAAGCTGGGGGAATGGCCTCTGTGCCCTAACATGCATAGAAGCTGCCTGTGTGCACATTCTGCAATGGGAAGCGGGGTGGAGAAGGACAAATGGGCCTCACACTCATACCAGGAGTACCTTAAGCACCAACTTTCAACTGTTTACCTGAACAGTAATAATTTTTTAAAGTTGTCCACATACCCCCCAAACACAGACTTTATACTCACCCAATATTTGACTAATTTAATCTTTTAAAACGGTATAGTATCTTAAATAACTTAAACTTTTTTGTCTTTAGTCTTCTATGTTGTTCTTTTCATAAACCTAAGACTGAATTAATACCCTAAAGAGAGATGTCTAATATTTCTTATCTCCATATCTTCAAGCAAAACAAGAGAAAGGTGTATCAGAAAAGCTCATCTAATGATTAGAACTTGAGTCTTCCTCTAGAAAGCCTGCTTAATCTACTTCCTAGGAGTGTTAGTGTCATGGCATGGAAGTTTGTTTGTATAGATACATGTGGGAACTTTTTTGAGTTGCACTTGCTTCCATGACCTGTATATCAATGACATCATTCTCTTATTTTATCTATGTTCTCTATCCTTTATTCAAAACTGTCATTAAATTTCTATTATCTCCTTGTCTAGTTTCTAACCCTCTTGACCCTTCCTTGCTAACCTTGGGTCCACTCATCTGAATCAGGCCCCTACTTCCTGTCTCACCTACACAAAGGGCAGAGTTTCACAGGGCTCAACTGCTTTCATTGTTTTACTCTTTAATCCAGCCCATCAAAAGTCAGCACACTCATCTCCTAAGAATCCACTTTCTTCCCATTACAACACTGCCCTAGACAGACAATGGAACTGGGCTCCTTCTCCTGCTGAGACTTAAGACCTAGGTTTTTCCTACCCCAACTATCCAAGGTCTTCCTCTTTCCTTCTCCACCTACCAGACAGACCTCAGCACTACAGTACACCAAACAGATGTCTGTACATTTTTTCAAGCTCAATACTTACAGCATTCCCTCTGGATACAGCATTCTTGGGGCCTCTTGTCCAAATGCTACCTTTCCCCTCCTCTCTTTCATGAGGTCTTTCTGAAGGACTTCTTCCTGATCCATTTTGACTTTTATATTATTGACTGGGTCCCTACTTCCTTTATCATCCTTGTTAGATCTTGACTGGTGAGAGAAAACATAATTTTTTTAGGTGTCAGAGACACTCAGCACAGAACTGGTAGTGTCACTGAGTAGCAAATACTTATGTAGCCAACTTTTCTATGTTATAAAGCAGTGTATTCCAAATTGTAGATGAGACCCCCCAATAACATTTGAAACACAAGTTTTTTAAACATAGTACTTTACTACATACGATGTAACTGTATTTTAAAAACTTTTTAGTCTCTCTTCTTGTGATAGCTCTTTGGTAGTAGATGTGGAAGCCTTGCTGTGTGGAGTCTGCTGTCAAGCAAGGGGAAGACACCATGCCCTCTTTGTGCAGCAACCCACTTGCAGGTCCCTGATCCTCACATGCAGGTCCGCAACACCATGAAGTTAGGGGTTTTAAGATGTCTATTGATGTTTTACCCTTGAATAAAGAATGAAAGTTCTGGAAGTCCACCCAGTACAGTGCCCCTTCACAGAGACTTTTGTACTAGCCTGAGAACAAAAAGCCTACGGTTTGAATCTAACCCTTGGAGGCCACTGGATGGCTGGGATGCCGATAGTGGTTCTTGCTATTTCACTGTCAAGCCATGACAAGTGAAGAGCAATCCCTTTCCCCCCTGGTTGGTATAAATTTTGTGAACATGAAGAATGACTTCTCTGATGTTGGGCAGATTCACATCTTTCCTGAATAAACCTGTGTTAAGTAGCTGTCAACTTACTGTGCAAAAAACTGGCTATAAACTTTGGGACACTTGTGTACTAAGAAGACAGCATTAGCTGGGTGTGGTGGCACATGCCTGTAATCTCAGCTACTCTGGAGGCTGAGGCTGGAAGATCACATATGAGGTCAAGATCACCCTGGGTATCATACTGAGACCCCATCTTAAAAAAAAAGTAGATAGCATTTTAAGATATTTATTTTGTCTATATCGTCTTATACAAGTACCTGGTTTTATCAGAAAGGTTCTAACAAAATATTTTAAAACAATCTGGGAAATAAAATACAATTTGAACAACTGCATATTAGGAAATTATAATGTCAGGTATATCAATTTTATCCATTATGTAGAAAAAGTCCTTATCTGCAGATATAGATCAGAAGCAAAGAGCCCTGGTATCTGTATGTAACTTAATTTGAAACAGACTACACACACATACACGCAGAAAATATGAAAATTTTTATTGTTGAGTCGATAAGGTAGACAAGTATATGCTATGATGTTCCCTCTTCCTTTCTATATTAAACTATAATGTTTAATTTCTCACTAAATTTATTTCACAACTAACTAATGGGTTTTAATCCTATTGAAAAATAATGCTTTACCATTGGGAAAAAGATGAGTCATTGGTTTCTATGTTTACCGACCATATCTAAAGAGACTCCAACATTCTGAAGACTGTGCTGTGGTTACTTCCTTGACAGTAAAGGATTTAATTTTCTACTGCCATAGGTCCCCTAATCTCTCCTTCAAAATTCTGTCTATGACTCATTAGTACCTTAGCAGGAACCAGTTTTACTTGCAGAGATCAGGTTCAGAATGTGCTCTAAGGCTCCCCATCCTAAGAATAATCCTTGTGGTTCTCATCATGGCTTTAAAAGGACCACATCTGGGAACATCAAAAATTCAACACAGTGCCTTGAAACTAAAAATGCCCAAATAAATGCTTGCATTGGTTAAACTTTTCCCTTCCTTCTCTCTTATGGACTGGTTTTAACGAAAAGTGTAAGTTCCATGAACAGAGTCAGTGAAATGAGAGGGAAGTGCTCAGGGTAAGTGAGTGAAATTTCGAGATTATGGCGTGTGGATTTCTAAATTCCTAAGGTTGGGCTCCTGTGGACTAGGGTCATCCACAGGATCTCATTTGAATTTTGACACGGTAGCGACCTCAGGGAGACACGTGCTCCAGACAGACTAGGGATTTGTGTTCCAGTTTCCCTCATTTGAGAGAACAAGGTAGCTCAACTCTGAGACCTCTAAGGTCTTTGCAGCGCTCATACTCACATAATCCTGTTACTGCTGGGTCTGGGAGCCCCACCCCCACAAAATGCCTGTTAGCATAACACAGAGGAATCTCATTGTATGTCACTTAAAGTAAAAAAGCACACATGACAGAGAATGTGCTGTGCGTTTACAGTGACTCAGAGACCAGAACAGTGGATACCTTGGCTGGCAAGCATTCTCCCTAGAATGAGTCACCAGAAGATGGCACCAGGGAGCACTGGGCCACTGACAATACTGATGAAGCTGGTAAGACTCATCCAACTGCAATTTAAGATGTATGCACTTTACTCTAAATTATATCTTAAAAAGTAAAATAAATGCCCCAAATCCTAGATCATGAAAATGTGGAGTTGTCAGAATTATTCCTGTAGAGTATCTATTACATCACAGGTGCTCAATGAATAAATATTAACATACATATCATTCAATTCTAGCAAGAAAAGAACTTTAATTTCATTAGCCTGTCAAGTTTTACTGCATTTTGCCAGCTTTTTAATGTTTTTAGTTTCCACAACTTTCATTATGCTACCTAATAAATATTTGCTTTTTATACAAGAACACAAAAGAGCAAATGAAAAGAAGTGAAAATCTGTATGTATAGTGTATATTTGCAAGGCACTAAATATCTGTGGTATAACTGAATATATCAGATTTAGAAACAAGAATACTTAATTTTAAATTCTGCAAAATGCAGCAAAATCCTAAATACCATGTTGATGCACAGTGCTAATGCCTTGTTTCATTATATAATAGTTACTTAGAAAGCCAATGTTTCTCCAAAGGCTGAATTTAACTAAAAGCACACAAAGAACAATTAGAACTCGCTCACTTACTTAGACCAAATTTTTCTATGACAGCTGACAATTGATTAATTTAGGTTCTAAACCAGGCCCACCGAAATTTGCATTTCTACTGGAAAAAATGTTTGTTTTTTTTCCCAGGGCATCTTTTGTGAGCTGGGCAGTGTGCTAAAAGGACTAGAGTCTGGAAGAGGAATAGAGTAAGCTTAGTTGTGGGAGTGCCCGCTGCTTGGGCTGAAAGACATCTGAACTATGTGCATAGGAAAATGTAGATAAGTACTGCAGGGAACAAAGGGAAGGAAATGATTACTGCAGGGTGCTTCAGGGAGAAGACTCCTGGGAAGGACTTAAGAGTAGGAGAGTCAAAAACCAGTAGAGAGAGCCTACCAGAGAGAATGACAAGTCTTCAGAGGCAAAAAGTAAAATGCTTAGGAAAACCAAAAGTTACTCGGAGTATCTAAAATTAAGAATGACTAAATGGGTCATCCTGAGTCAGAATTGAGTGATGGGGTACAAAAGATATGCAATGGATGGTAGGCATGGTGGTATACACCTGTAATCCCAGCGAGGCAGCCCAGGACAAAAAGTGTAAGACCCTATGTGAAAAATAAAGTAAAGCAAAATGGGCTGGAGGTGTAGGCTCAAGTGCAGATCAAACCCTAGTGCTGGGAAAAAAAACCCTGCAGGGCAAATATGTCTCAAAGGAGGCATCAGACTCTGCAGAACACAGCCACCCTACATCAAGCTCTGCAAACCATGTTATATGTGACACTTACCATGAAAACAAAAAACATCCAGAAATGGTGAATGGAAACATCAAAAAGAGAGAATTCATAAAATTATATCTTGAATATTGACAGTTTATGTATTTTTTTTTTTTTGAAAGGGACTCTTGCTATGTTGCTCAGGTTGACCACGAATTCCTGGGCTGAACTAATCCTCCTGTCTTAGCTTCCCAGTAGCTGAAATTACAGGCATGCTACTGTGACCAGGCTTACACAGTTTCAATTCTCACTAACTGTGTAAAAATCCAGAGCTGTGTCTGTATTCAGGATTTGGTTCATGGGCTGGGCCGTCACAGAAGAATGATTCACTAACGCATTTGTGAGATTTGGTCAGTATATTCCTATACACTCATACGCCACTGCACACTAACACTAAGTGAGCCTCTGTCTGGGAGGCAGGGATCATGTACCCGGACCTACTATCACACATATACACCCCATTTGAAGCTCAGGATAGCTGAGTTCTCACCTAAAAGAATATTAGCTATCAGGTGATAGGAAACCAGGCATCATGCCTCATAAACACATGACTGGTAATTTAGGCCACTTCCATTCATTTGTCTTCTGGGGACCCAAGACACTAAACAAATTCCAATTATAGCCTTGCTGCTTTTTCAACAGGGGCTGGGCAGGTTATGAAGGGCAATGTTTTCACCTCGGATGAAAGAAAAGGCAGGAGTTAAGATGACTTCCCTGAAGGGTGCAGGTCCTTCTGTCTTTTGTTGATGGACTGAAAAAAGAAATAGTTCAATGCTACAAAACAGATTCTCCTCACTCTCAGCCTTATTACAGAAGCCTGTGCTGACTGCAGGAATGTTCCATGGTGTACATATCTACTCTATAACTAGGCACTATGACTTGAATTCTGCCTGGAAAAAAATTAGATTAATAAAAGGGGAAATATGTGTGTCGGGGGAAGGGGAGGAAGAGGCAGTTTCAATGCCAGATGCATTTTTTTCTTTCCTGGGAATTGCAATAGACCAAATCATGGATCTGTACCTGGCATACAGCCCTAACTCCCCCAGACACTGTGGGAACTCTCAGATAGGGACACCTGCTCTGAGCTTATTACAGAATTGCCTGTGTGCAGAATTACCACTTGAACATGCACTAATTTTATGCCCAAAGGTAAAATGCTAGCTTTATTCACACCTAGCTCCCTAAGATACACGAATGATACTGTTTTTCTGTGCCTTTCTTTTGCCTTGGGAAACTAATGGACCTGACTACAAGGGCTGCTGAATATGTAAGAGTATCTACAATGTGGTGTTCTTCATTAATTTGACTCAGTCCACCTACTTTATTCAACATATTC